ACGGGTGTGTTGTTGCTTCTTAGAATGACAGATCTGCATTGAAAGGAGATGATGTTGGGTGCTACAGAGTCCCTGAATGTACTTCAGACCACTGATGGGTACATTTTAGGACATATGAATTATACCCGTTTTTCAGAAAAACTTCATTAAAACTTAAGTCATACACAGGGTTGAAAAGTTTGCCAAGTTTCGGTAAAGCTCAAGTAACTCCATTAAAATGAGCCACATGGCAAAGATGTATACATAAAATGACAAATTGGAAATAAAGTTATGGGATGATGCATGATGCCTCTCCAGGAACTTATCTAAGGAGTCATCTTCCCAGACTCCTCTGCTGCTCAGGAGTTCCTCACAGAATGAGGCCACATCATGTCCTCCTCTAATCTAAACTGAAGAGGCCTCCTTGCCTTTGGTCTGAAGAACAAACTCAGTGACTGTTGATGGAAGTCATTAGCAAAACAAAACTCAGTCAGAAACAGTGTTTAATGAACCTCCATCTTGAAAACAAACAATGCTAATCTATTTCCCAAGGAAGTAATGTGCACAGTGTACATCAGAGCTGCTTCTTGAGGCTCCAGACAGACCCTAGCAGGAGCGATTCCAGCTGAAACGTACTTGGCTCTTTCCCAGAAACATGTAGCTTCCTACAAGTTATTTGGAAGAGAAAAGAGAAACATGCCAGATAAAACCCACAGAGAGCAATTTGTCAGCAAGGACCAGGCAGAAGGCAGCAGCTGGGCTGCTTGTGCTCATGTTGCTTTAACCCTTTTTCCCTGGTGCTTCACCACATAGGTGGACCTCACTCCTGTCTACCACTTTTAAACAAGTGAGTGGTCTGACACCTACACTGAGTATAAGGACATGTAATTATCTCTTTCTGAGCCACACAGGCTGAATCTGTGGCCTCTATAGTTGCACAGAGACTTTGACATCTCCTGGAAGACTATGACCCTGAAATTTTCTACTTAAGGAACTTCCAAAGGCAAATCCCTTCTTCAGCACTTTAAACTGTGTTTTAGAGAACTCTGTCTTCTCTCTTGAAACTTTTTGTATTTATAGTGCACTGCTAAGAACATATTAATTACAAGGGTTTTTTTTTAATGCTCTTGGGCATGTAATAAGCATGTCACTATAAAAGTTGATCTCTTTAGGAAAAAAAATTTAATAATTAAAGTGGTTAAATGACAATTGCAAAACCCATTGCAGAGTCAAACAGCTAAGCCTACACATGACATCTACCAAATGGGTTAATGTTCAGTAAAAAGGACAAATTTGTGCAGCCTGAAGCTGTATTTCAAAAGTAGTGTGAATTTTTCACTCTTACAAAGTGGTCCTGTATAAAGAAAGCTATCAATTTTTTTTACGTGTGTGAGTGTTTTGCCTGTATGTACGTAAGTGCACTGCATTGATGCAATGCCCATGGAGGCCAGAAGAGGGCGTGAGATCTCCTGGGATTGGAGCTATGGATGGTTATTAGCTGCCATGTGGCTGCTGGGAACCAAACCTGGGCCCTCTTCAAGAGCATCCAATACTCTTAACCACTAAGCTATCTCTCTAGCCCCACTACCATTTTTTTAAATAAGAAAAAGAGACCCTGTGACTATGTGAACAAATTTCACAAGTTGGTCATGCCAAGTAACCTAATATCCACATAAACACAAATCCTCAAAATTACTTCCAAGAATCTTCCTTCATATCCTAAATGCTTGACTTGTACCAAGTTTAACAGGTGAAATTATGTGTTACACAGACTACGTCAGGAAAACCATAGGGGATAAACTCTATTTCTAACAAAAAGATATACTATGTATTACGCTTGCTTATTTTTAGTGATGAAAAGCAGACTGTGCATCATGTGGCAAGTTGGCACGGTGTAGAGGGCAGAAGCAAGCAGCATGCTCTGACTGAGCTGCGTTCTAAGCCCAGCATGCCACACCCTGTCTCTGTGTGTGCACTCTGAAGGTCAGTTGCTTCTTCAGACTTCATCTTTTCTTCCTATAATATGGAAGTAATATCTACCTCAAAAAGTCACCATGACAATGCTGGCTCAGGACAATCAGCAGTGAGTGCTCACTAGAACGAGGCACTAATTCTCGAGGCTGCCCATAACAAGCACACAATATTCTTGTCTTCATTTACTAAAAACACTACATTTTAATGTTTGAATGAATTGAACTAATAAAAAAAAGTTGAGGGGAAAAAAGAAATTGCACTTTATTCTGTAACTTAGCAGAGCAAGTTTTGTTCTATTTGTTTTAATAGTTCGGAGTGGTACAGCATCAGGAAAAAGAAGATGAAACCTAAATTTAACACCAAATCATGCTATACCATATAGTGGATTTCAGTCAAAATTCACAAAACTCCCAAACTCATCTGTCTTTAAAATGGGCATAGTAAAGTACCTCCTTCAATGGATTGCAGTGTGCTCAGAGAAACACTCTATAAATTGCTTAACAATTTAATGTTCAATACATTAGCAATTATTGCTGCCACATAACAAGTTTCTCATGTGAATTTTCTCCACACTGAATTGCTTTATCGGAAAATCAGCGGAATCTCCATCATGTCACATCAAAGTGACATCAAGACATACACAACTGCAGACACTTGTTAGCCCTGGCACCTAACCTTCCCAGCCACAGGGCTGGGCCTTCCTGTAATTTCAGTTATAACTGCGACAAGATACCCTTGAGAGACTAATTGTAGATTACTTTTATTCTCTAAATCCCACCAGGAACCTAAAAGCAAAACCTTTCTTTGTTGGAGCTGTACAAACATCATCTGAGTGATGGACTCATCATGCTGGGCAACATCTGCAGCCAGCAGTCTCAGTGGGGTCATCAGACTGCAGGGTGACTCCCAGCATCTCAGAAACACTGCACCAGGAAGAAATGCCCCTTTATATCAAATCAGCATGGTTCACACATTAGTATGGAGTACACTTAGTTGTGCCACGTAAATAAGTAGCTCCTAGGAGCGCTAGACGAGACAAAAAAGAACTTGGTAGACTGAGTCATCACTCTTACAGCAAAAGGTCCCTGCCTTGCTACTTCTTTGAAAAGTAATCATGACCTTTTTGGTGCTGTATCTTTCAGGCACTCAAGAGAGCTCCTAGGAGCGCTAGACGAGACAAAAAAGAACTCGGTAGACTGAGTCATCACTCTTACAGCAAAAGGTCCCTGCCTTGCTACTTTTTTGAAAAGTAATCATGACCTTTTTGGTGCTGTATCTTTCAGGCACTCAAGAAAGGGAGCAGAAATGAAGATGATGGAGACCTGACAATCTGGAGCCAGAGAGATGGTTCTGTGGTTAAGAGCACTGGCTGCTCTTGCAGAGGACTGGGGTTTGATTTCAAGCACCCACATGGAGGCTAACTACTGTCCATAAGTCCAGTTCCAGGGGAATCTGATGTCCTCCTCTGACCTCCACAGGCATTGCAGGACACCTGTGCACTGACATGCATGCAGGCACTCACACACATAAAATAAAAATGACAAAATGTTTTTAAAGAGCTCTGACAATCTGCACAAATATAAAGCTAAAATGTTGAAGTCATCATTTACTCAGTTAGGAATTCAAGTCTCCTTGTCTGCCCACTGTCTAATTCTGACGTTTATTTCATCCCATCTGCTCTGACTTATCACCCCTTATCTTGACACTCGGCAGGACATTTTTAGATTCTGAACTGGGATCTGTGAAATATGAGTAGAGGCTGACAAAATAATAAAACCGAATGCTCATATACAGCAGAGATGTGTGAGGTCCCACAATTCCTCTGCCCCCATTTTGCTCTTCTCTCAACTATTGGTACATGACTTCCAACTTAGGGGAGAAGGCAGGTAAAAAACAGACTGAAGAAGTGAGGCACATCACACTGTTGTTGACCTGGTTTCTCAGCTGTTTCATGCACGCATTCTCTGACCGTCCAGTAGTCACAACTGCGCCATTTCACAGCTGGCGCACAGGAACACCCCTGTGCTCCCACCAGTACCAGTCAACGCAGCTATCACAGTGCACACGGAGTAAGAGAGATACACCAAGACCTTCCCTTCATGATTCCTAATGCTTACCACAGCCCTGGAGGAAAGCTGCATTTTCAGCCTTTTTCTCGCCGTCCTTCTGGGCCCCCAACCAAACTGGAATTACTGTTTTCTCTTCCCATCTTGCAGTTCTTCCTCTCTGGTCTCTTGCTGGGTGGGGGCTTCCCCTCCAGCAGGTATGTTTTATTTAACATGGACCCCTCTTTTACAAGCAAATCCTAAGCCTGTCTCCTCCAGGAGTATTTCTTGCCCTCTTGGCTTAAAAAAAAAAATCTTTTTTCAGACTTTTCTGTACCACCTTTATGAACCTTGCATTTGATTCTGTGTATCTCTCTCCTCGACTAAACTACCATCCTTCAAGAGGTTGTCTGTTACAGCACAGACATTACTGCTCAACATCAGCACTCATTTGTCCCAGGAATGCCTTACGGTTAAGCTTCAACTTTTGATGTCTATTTTCAGTGCCTAATATATTCTGCTTCTCTCCTTGATTTGCTTTTTTTTTGTTGTTGTTTTTTTCCTAATTTACCTTTTCCATTCACATGTTAAAAAAAGTCAGCATCAAAGCCTCCTATATATTATTTTCCAAAATACATCTGATGATAGCTCCTTAATCAGGGCTCCAGAGGGTATTATAGCAAGTGAACTTTAACATAGAATTAAGATTCTGTACAGAAAACTACTTATGGATTTTATTAACTATTTCAAGTAATGAGATTATCTGCACTGTCATTTAGGCAAGATTGTGGACTGGGAAAAACCATTCAACATCAGTCTTCATCAGCCTGGGTAACACTGACGAAGTCACTGCACGCAGTCCTCTGAAGGTATTTTCAACTTGTTCATAATCTTCATCGAAAGTGGAACTTAATGGCCCCCAAAGCTCATATATGTTTTGATTTGTTTCTGACTTTAGTAAATTGTCTTTCACAACCTGAGATTACCTCACTTACGCCATCTTATAAGTATCTGTGAGCATCACCTAAGCTATTTCAATCAGAAGAGGTGATAAAAAGTATTCAACCTTTCATAATGTGGTAGTTATGATTCAACAAGTAATTAAAGCATCGCATCTTCCCTACAGTCAGCAAACAGAGGGCAGAAGAGAAGGTGTAAACACATAGTCAAGAGGGTAGAAAGACGGGACTAATTCTGAGTGTCTTTAAGGAGCATCTAAGTGGGCTGTGAAAAACAGGCCCATCTGGGAAAAGGGCAAAAGGACACAGTGAGAGACTACATGGAAGCTGGCGAATTTGAGGAAAAGCCTGAGAGGTTCCAAGGAGAACCACAATGGGACTGAGATTTAAACATAAGCAACAACGATAATGCCTGCTTTACTGTTTTATGCTTTTAATAATATTTTCTTTTATTCTTTGAAATTTTTGTAGATTTATACACTGTATTTTGATGATAGCGATCTACCACTGTCTCCTTCCAGCTCCTCTTAGTGCCCCCTCCATTCTGTCTCACTCCCAAATTTATATCCTCTTTTTTGTTATTGCTATTCATAATCCACATCCGATTAGTGTTGTCCACATGTGCATGGGTATGGGGCCATCCACTGAGTGTGGGCAACCTACTAGCAACCATGTCCACAAAGGAGAGTGACTCTTCCTCCTTCATCAGCCTTGGTCAACTGTCAATAGCTCCTCAGCTAAGGGTGGGACGTAGGGGCCCCTTCCCCATCCATGCTGGAATTTTGACTGACTTGATCTTGCGCAGGTCTTGTGCAAGTATCCACAGCTGCTGTAATTTGATGTGTACAGCATCTATGTCATCTTCAGAAGTCAGCATTTCGCATCTCTCCTCCCCATCCGCTGGCTGTTACATTCTTCGCACCTCTTTTTCCATGATGTTCTCTGAGCCTTGGTTTGGTGTTTTTAATCACAAAAGTAATGGTAGCCAAGCCAATGTTAAGGGATAAGAGTAGCTGCTAGAGTTGAAGGACTAAAGAATCTCAGAAAATTAGTTAGTGAGGTACTACTAAGTGAGAAGTACCATGCTTAGGGTTGTTAAGTTGACTTGACCTCTAGAACTGTGCAACCCAGCAAAACAAAGTTAATTCTGCTCCTAGCAAGCAAGATTCATGGCAGACTGGGATAACTGTCTAGAGCGAGGCACTTAGCTGCTCTGGAGCAAGCTCTTTAGCGAAAGAGAATGAGTGACTCTCATGAGAGGTTGGAGAACCTGCTCTCCTCAGTCATAGAGAAGAAAGTGTTACACAGGCATATTAACAGATAAATTGACAGGGAAATTGCCGACAGCACTAAGGGGTTTCTGAAGCAATGAGAGGCAAGCTGAGATCTGAATGACAAGAGCCAGTCATGGAGGGAAAGCTAAGAGCCTCCCAGGCAGAGGCAGCACCTAAAGCAGAAACCTGCCACAGAAAAGGGCAACTTGTTCAGGAAGGAAGAATCAGGACAATGTGGGCTGAGTAATGAAGGCCAAGAGCTCTCTAGAGGAGGGTGAGGGAACTTCTATATTAAGTCACTCTTAAGCTTTAATCAAAGGAGTGATCCAATAGGACTGACATCAAAAGAAGTGTCAGTTGGGACTTAGAGGCTAAATTATATCGTCCAGACATGAATAATGATGGTACCCGGGATTAGGATGATGGCAGGACAGATCCAGAATTGTGGGAAATTTCGGAAGTAGAATTATGGAAACAGATTTCTGAGTGCACTGGATGTAGAAGTCATTCAAGGAATCAAATTTGACTAGACTTTCTTAAACTGAGTGGTACCATTTTCTAAGATCAGTAATTCCAGGGACAAAGTAGCCATGAGAAAGAAATGTAAAATCTGGTTCTGGGCATGTCAATCTTCAGAGGCTAAAGGGACATTTACTGGAGATGCTGACTAGGTATTTACATACAAGCACCTGAAGTCCTTGAAGAAGCACTAGCTGCAGATCCGGAAATCATCTGCATTAAGTTAACATTTAAAATCATGGGTTTGAATGAATTTGCCTAACCAGGCAGGAAGAAAATCCATACAGGAGGGAGTCCTGGGGCCTTCCAACACTGAGAGGTCATGCACAGAACTAAGACCAAGTTCAAGAAGAAACAAAGAAGGCAAGAGAGGTGTGACTATCATGGATGCCAAGAGAGCAAGGGTTACAATGAACAAAAGATCCTGTCTGTGCTGGGCTGCAGTGGTGAGAGATGCCTTCTGGGATCACCTTGGAGCTGGCTCAGTGAAGTGGTAGGAACTGAAGCACTGCTGGAATGAGAAGAAAACATGAAGTGAGGAAGTGAAGCTGTCCACACACACCTTGATGCAGCTGAGGCCCTCTTTCCCAGGGGGTCATACACACACATACACTTAGCCTCAAATATTGGAGTTCATTAACAAAAGTTTCTCTAAAACCATGAGCTCCCTACAGTGGTAGGCTCACCATTCAAATACTTGCTCCATAGTAAAAGCATACAGCCAAGGCCAGTTTCTCTTACCAAGTTGACTGATTCTCATGTTGATATGAAGTCATTAGTTCACATACAGTTCCAGGTTTTTATAGTAATTGTGTCTCCCATAAAGTTGTCCCCTCATTAGATTTCCCCTATTTCCATAAAGTAGGATCACTTAGATTCATAACCTTAAGGGTGATGAGTAGAGTCAGAATGGCTCCAGCCATTTTGCTGACTCCTTTAAGGATCACTGTTAGACAGAGGAGGCTGGGCATGGACCAAGGCTCCTGAGAGACTGTGTATATTCAGAAGTTGGAATAGCTCATCTTCTTACCTAATTTGCCTTTCCTGCCATCGCAGATGGGGGAGAATATGATTAGCACAAAGCATTTTACTAACAAGGCAGCTAAAAAATTGTTATTATTCAAAATCTTCCAGGAGAGACTCTGGTGTCATTCTAAATGAATGAGCAGCCAGGATTATTAAACCATACAGCGTTAGAATTTGATAAAAACTAAGTGGTGTTGAATGAGCTAATTATTTGTATCTCTGGTTTGCTTTAAATTGCAACTTTGGTTGGCAAGTTATTGTTCAGTGTAAGGGGAGAATACCAGACTGTGTAGGGTAACTCCACTCCATGTTTTTCAAACAATGGGAAGATACAATAACAGATCCACAGAGCTCATTAGGATTCTGCTTTGCAACTTCTGTGAGACCAAAGCAGACCTTAGGCAGCAAATAAATAAGAGAAAAGGGGCTCTGAACCTGGAACTGTTCAATCTCACTCTCCTATGTCCTACAGGACTCATCTACTGGAGGCTTTCTGAGAGTCAGCACAGTGCCAAGACCAAGGACCTTAATCCAAAATGGGAGTGGGAGGCTCTTCTTTTTAGGAGATAATAAAAGATAGTAAGTCAAAGCAAACAAATTGGTAGGTAATTTTCAAAGGAGGTCTACTGATCTGAAAAAAAATTTTTTTAAGGGTTCTGAACCCAAAAGCATTTCTCAAATAGGATGCTCAGAGAACATACTCAGAACAGGGGATGTTGGACGGAGACATCAATGGCAAGGAAAATAAAACCAGGAAGCTCATCAGAGGGTCTTTTATTTTCATCTTTAAAATGACATTTCTAACATCAAGCTGAAAACCACCAGCAAATACCGTAAGCTCTGCAGTTTAGCGGGAGCATTTCTAATAGCAAGAAAACAAACACGAACTCAGGGGACTGACTATAAAACAACAATGAGCCATTATTTCTTTTATGGGGTTTTCAATGACTAATTAGAAAAGTAGGAGTCAGAAAAGTAACAGCTACTGTATATCTACTACCATGTCTAGGAATTACATCATCTGCCCAAAGTATCCATCCCTACCGCAATCTGTGTCCTAAATTATCATCATGAGTTACTAATATCTTAAGCAAAGAAGGATTTGGATCAATTAATCTAAGTAGCTGTGCAAATTTCATGCATCCTGATGAAGATGTTCAAAATACAGAAAAGAAAACTAAACCTGAGATACAGAAAGATAAACATTGGATGTGCTGGTCTTGATGTGGTCAGACACCATGCTGAATTTCATTGGCTGATTCTGACTGCCCAGAATTATCTTTAAAAAACTATCCCAACAATACTTACTCCAGCAGGATCCTACTGACCTCATTATATCTGTATCAACCCCCGTTTCTTTATGCAGTGTTCTCTAACAACTGCATGAAGAAACAAGTCTTCCCAGCGAAATGTCAGATGTAAAATTTAGATACATCTTGCTTATGCTAATGCAGGGTTTGTTCAAAGTGAAATTCATATTGATTCCCAGGTGAAAACACATTTGTTAAAGACTGATTCATCTTTGTCTCAGATAAAACACAAAGATAATGTAGGCAAAGAGCCTACAAATTCTACAAATCCCAATTTGTAGCATGTACTGCTTTAAAAACTCATGTTTCATTTAGAAAAACACCGAGGGCTCAGATTTGACTGGTTAAAATATTTTATGTGTATGAATGTATTGCCTGCATGTATGTGAGTGCACCCATGTCTTGCAATGCCCACATGGGTCAAAAGAGCGTGTTGGATTCCCCTGGAACTGGAGTTTCAGGTGATTGTGTAGCTACCATGTGGGTACTCAGAATTGAACCTGAGTTCTCTGCAAGAGTAGCAAATGCTCTTAATTGCTGAGCCATCTCTCCAGCCCCAGATCTCGCTGTTTATATTTGTGCTTCAACACGGTTCATCTACCTTTAGAGAGACAAGCAAATGAAATGAAACCAATCCGGCCAGAAGCACAAGTCAGAGGTCTGTTAGAACATCCAATGTGCCTCCCCTCCCCCCTCTTTTTCCTTCTCTCCTCAAATTTTCATCTCTTTCAATCTCCTATAAACTAGGTTTGCCACCGACACTCAAAAACAAATCCCAAGCACCAAAATACAAAATCTCACATAACTAAAGTCTAAAATAGCTGTCGATCACTGACCCTATTATCTTTTGCCACAATCACTAAGGGCAATGTTAATACCAATACTGTTAAAGCATTATATATTTGTAAAACACAATCAAAAGAAATAAGTGGGTGAGAAACAGTATAGAAGTTTATACATGCAAGTCTATTTCCTTATCATGTATGAGTAAGCTCCTTATTTTTTGTAATTTTTACAAAAACCTTATTGAGACTTTCATGCATGTGTATAAGATGTTTTGATCAAATCCATGCCCACTCCCTCCCCTCCAACATTCCCCCCTCTTAAGAGTAACCCTAAAAATCTTTTGAGGATTAGACACAAGCTCCCAAATACTTTTGACATTTTTGGCCTTTGGAACAGAGTATGTTGCTAACAGACCCAAGGACATTTTGACTTTTAGCCGAGAAACTGGCTACATTTCTTTGAGGTCTTTTTACCCTAACTGCCTAGCCAATTCCTACCTTCTATTCTTATCACACCATCCAGGGGTTACCCAAATTGCCAATAGGTAATAGGGATGCTGACTGCTCTGGCTTCTTCCATGCTGAACAGGGATGCAGGGTGAGGCAATTGGAGCACCCCTTCAGTGGGTCTATCTAAAAGACTCCCAAATTGTATAACTCTTATCTCTAAGGGAAGAAGAAAGTCTTTGAATCATGAATAGGAGATATGAAGGAGAAGTAAAGACAAGAGTAATTAGCATTACAAGTTCTAGACAGGGAACTAGAAAAAAGTCAGAACAGAGCAATTTCCAAATGTTCATATGAGAGTCCACTGGAGTTTCTTGACAAGGGCTTCCAAAAGCATCCCACTATCGGGTTCTTCCTCATTTTTCTTTTGTCTTCCAAGGCTGGCCTAGTTGGTTGGAAAGAGTGGCTGGATACTCAGGTGAGGGTCCAATGACCCTGCTTGGCACTCCTTTAATGAATGAGCACAACAGTCAGCAAGTCCAATTGTGACTATATTTAGCGATCAGGCTCAGCCAAAGTTGTGATAATGGTAGTTACTTCATGCAGAAGGGACTGCTGTGTAGTATCATCTTATTGAAAGGATCCGGAATTTAAAAGGATTTGGTGCTAGGAGGGAGAACATATGTCATTTGTTTTTCTGAGTCTGTGTTACTTCATTTAGTATAACAGTGTCTAGATCCATTCATTTACCTGCAAAGCTCCTTGCAAGCTAATACTCTAAGGGGAAGACACCCACTGAATATGAACTTATAAGTGAAGATTGGATTAATCCATCTAAGGAAACCAAAGTTTCCAAACAGTGAAGATAGCGTCCTAAATTCAGCTGGTAAAGCTAGCCACAGCACAACAATCATGGGCTCTGATGGGGATATTTTGCTGTTGGTTTGGCTCTTCATTAAAAGGAGACTCTTGAAGAAGAAGAAACTCCTGGGGTCTTCAAAAACAATTACCCCAGACATCTAGATGTCCTAATTTCTGTCAGGTAGTGGGGAAGCCTTAATGAGACCATCGTTTAACCATGTCACTATCAGTGAATACAAAACTTAGAACAGAGATTAAAGTCTAGCCTCTCTCAACTTGGTTTTGAAATTTAGTATGGTCAAGTACTATAGAATTAAAGAAATAGAGAAGGAACAGGTAGAGAGGGGAGAAAAGATGGTATATAGATTTAAGTTATTGAACTTAAATACTAACTACAATAAAGCCAACACTTACCATACACTTGTAATACACTGGATAGTGTATATTCTCATTTCATTTGGAAGACAATTTTATCAGATTGGTAGTATTACTAATCTCAGAGGAACTGGAGCACAGAGAAGGTAAGACATTTGCCCCTATCATCGAGTTTGCAAGTAGTGGAGACAGAAAGCTAATCCTGGACTAGAAAACTCACCAGAGAAGCTCTCAGTTACCAGATGATCTACAGAGTGCTCAGTGAGGGAACGTTAGTCCTCAGCTCTGGTTCAACACGTCCTTAAATAAAGCTCCTCTTCATTTCTCACAAATTCAAGTTTCTATGATTCTGAAATCAGGTTGATCTAGCATTATAGGTCACAGCAAAGACTTCTAACAGAGTGCTAAGTACCATGAGAGTACTAGTGACCAAATTATAGAACTTCTCACGATCCTTAAAATGTAGATGCACATATTTCACAAAGTAATCAGACAACCACTAAGTAAGCCAACAAGGAGCTCTGAAACAGGCCTGATGATACAGACAGTAAATGTCCCCAAAGGCTTGGTCTCAGCCCGTGGTACTATTGGGAGATGGTAGGGACCTGTGGGAACATTGGGGCATGCCTTTGAAGAGGGTATTAGGATTCTCACTCCTTCCTCACATTTTCCTGAGCCATGAGGCTTTGGGCTTTTTCAGCCATGAA